TGCCTAGTATCAGAGTCGATGCACGACGTACGGTAGTCTTCTGTCTCTGTATAACTCGTGCGGTAGCGACGCGACGTAAGTCGGAGTTGTATTAAGGCGTTGCTTAGGCGAAATCTCCGGTCGCCTTCGCATGAAGTCGTGGAGGCTCGGTAGGCTTAGAAGTTAAGGGGTTATTCCAGATATTTCATAAGAGGATTTATCACATTTCGTTAAGGGGATATTTCATATGATTCATTATACGTAGCTTTTAAAACTTTTATATGAAAATTCAAAAAACGTTTAAAGCAAATTCGAAACATTTTTCGGGCTTGTCCGAGATTATTCAAAATGACCGGTTGTATTTCAGAACACGCCACAGAAATAAAAGAATCCGAAATAAAAAGGCGCGTTATTTTATTCGGTACAAGAATACAACAGATATTACAGAAAAGTCTCAGTGTGCTATTTCAATTCGGTATGTTAATAAAAGCGGCAAGTCTAAGTCAAATAATTTTGCGAATTTTGTTTTATGAAATATTAGATAATACCGTTATACATTTAGAAATAAGGTTTGCAGATAGGTACTCGTATATCGCAATTATTTTTATTTATCTCTTTCGGATCCGAAATTTAAAGAATTCTATAAAAATTTTCCAACGCATTTAACATCTGGTTTAATAAACTTGTTATATTGATACATTTCCAACGCATTTAATAGTGATTTAACAAACAAAAAATGATATTAACCAACTTAAATTAATGAATAAATTGCAGGTATTAATAATAGATATGATAATTTCGAATATAAAATAATTTAAGGAGAATTATCCTGGAAATATATTTCCAGAGGCTATCAAATTGATTGTTTTGTTTGTTACTATACCATTTACAAGTACTTGGGTTGAGAGACATTTTTCATGTTTGAAATGCATTAAAATTTATAGTAGAGATTCCATGAAACATAAACGTTTATCGTCACTTGCCTTACTTTTAATCTAAAAAGATCTTTTCACAGCTCTTCTGCAATCTTATGATTTTACTGATATAATAATAAATAACTTTTCTTTATTAAGAGACCATAACTAAGCGACTCATCAATTTAATATATAAAACATAATTATTCTTTCTCTCAATACTACCAATTTTTAAGTTTGCGTACATAAATAAAAATAAAATAAAATTCTATGATGTACGCCATAGTGACTCCATAGTAATAGATAAAAAAATATATACTTGTACATTATGTCAATCATTACCGTAGAGCGGTGTGACTTTGCCACGATTTTGAGATGTTTTTTATGATATTCTTCTTATTCTTTAAGCAATCGGCTTGTGTCAAAACTATATGATACATTAGGCTTTTTAGCAGCGCTTCCCTACCTAACACCCACGAAAAGAATTGTTTTAATATATATTTTTTAAATATCTGTAGTGGGCAAACTCACCCCAGTAATCGGTGTGAAATTACCCGGGGCTGTAAATTCGCCTCTATGCAGTGTTAAACCATTCCAATGGTGGCTTTGCCCACAAAAATGTTTTTAAAACATGGTTTAAAGTTAATAATTTTTTTTATCGAAAAAAAAAATAAAAAACATGAATTTTAAGGCTTTTTTAAAAATGCTTTATTCTCTGGCATACAAAATATTATACAAAAACATAAACAAAACTTAAAAGGTAATATTCTCACAAAACATTAAAGGACTTATGTCCTAAAAATAAATAAAAAATAAACAAAATGGTAATTAAGTATAATGAGGTACATAGGTAGGTAACAAAAAAAAATTCTCATTGCAAGTTGTAGGAACTTAGGTCGTCTTCAAAGCGGTAAATTCCCCTTATTATTTCAGGCTGATGCAAAATTTTTAAAATACTATCTTCTTGCTCGACCGAAATGTCGTCAATTGAAGGGAAAACAAAAACATCTTTTTTTTTTCTAAAATATTTTAGAGTTCTGGGCGATCTACATTAATAACTTCTGCCAAGTAGTGTTTAACGGTTTTCTTTGTTAAGAATTTCACGACCACATAGTCACCTATTTTTGGAATGTTTTTTAAGATGTTTTCAATATTGTCCTCTTCTGTCATTCCACCAACGCCAACGTAGTCCTCTTCTAACATTATTGCTTCTTCTATTGAATTATCGTGCTCGCATCTCATAATTTCAAGGTCATCAAAGTCTTGGGGGTCTTCATTAACGTTAATGGTTTCTGTGAAAAGTTCATCGGCACAAACTGATTTTCCAGGTGTTACTTTTAACATTTTTTTTCTCTTTCTTTCATTTGAAGTTCCTGCAGTAGGAGCCCGAATTTCCTCTAAATAAGCAATTAAAGTTTCATTCACTGTCTTACCAATGATGTGTTCATTCGTTCTACTACCAGGCAGTCTTTTAAGTACTTCATGGGGGTTAAGTGGTATAATTCCTGTCGCTCTGAATGCACTTTCAATGTTTGTTTTATTAGTATTTTCAAGACGTTCTACTAAGGATTTTAAAAGAGGAGGAAAAGACACTTTATTTAGGCTAGTCTCTCTTGGATTTTTTAGTTTGTATTTCTGCAGAATGTCTCTCCAAACCCGTTTCATCGGGCCGTAGTATGCCACATCTAATGGCTGGGTAAGATGTGTAGAATTCGGCGGTAGGAACACAAATTTTATGTCATTCCTCTGACATTCAACTATTATGTTGTGATCTAAATGGGATGACAGATTATCCCCTATTATAGCCTTGGATCCCTTTTTGCTTTTACTCCATGGAAGTACCATAGTGTAGAACCAATCCTGGAAGGTAAATCCGTCAAACCACCCTGACTTTGATCTGTTATAACGTGCCTTCTTAGGACCACCAATAGTCCATTGATCATATAGCCTTTCCGCCTTATAAACTACATAGGGTGGTAAGACCTCTCCACCGCCGGTTATTGCAAACATTACAGATATACATGACTTCGTCGAATTCATCAGTCGTTCCGGGTATTTTATTCCACGGCGAAAAATACATTTCTTCGAACCGGGATCGTCCGAGAGATTGGTCTCGTCGTAATTTAAAATGTTTTCTTTTGGGATACCATTCAAACTATTGGTAAGATTTTCAAAATACTCCAAAAATTGTTGTTCTGTATTTTGGGCGCGTACACCTTTAATATTTTGGCATGCTCTCTGAGAAAGTCTATTTTTATGTCTGCTGAGAAAATTGAGACACCAGTCTTTGCCGGGCAAATTATTTGGAAATTTGATGATAGTTCTTCCTAAACGATCTAAATAACGTTTAACAATCACTCGAAGATCAAAAGAGGTTAGCGGACTGCCAAATTCTGCAGATATTAGTAAGACATCAACTATTTCACGTTCTTCAGTCTCGGATAAAGATGTCTGGCCCCCGAATAGTTTATTGTGCTTATTTTTAGCCCTATTATATATTGTTCGTTTGGGAATGTCATATAAATCCGCGGCCGCCTGATAACTAATTCCCGTTGTCTTTACCGCATTAACTGCCCGCAGCAATAGCTCTTCTGTATAATTTCTATAAGGTCGAGCCCCCAGCTTCTTTTTATAAACGCGGCCCATATTCTGCAACAAAAAAATAGTCATGCAAAAACACCTCAAGCCAACACCACTACTTTTGATTAACACCGCAAAAGCAAAAGTTAAAGCTCTGTAGAAGTTGGGTTAGGTTAGGTTAGGCCATTTTTTGCAAAAAAACGGCATGCAAAGTGACCCCCAAAAAAACACTACTTTTTGTAACCCCTCGTACATCTAAAACTATAACCACCTGTTCCGTAAAAATTTAGCCACATAACCTCAAAATATGTACCTAAATAATAGCCCAACCAGCAACTTTAAACAAAAATACTGGATCAATCTACATACCTTAGCAGTTACAGTTCGGTGATCACAGAAAAAATGTCGATCTCGTAAACCGTAGTATTCTGCAGTTTTGTATCCACTTGGACCGGCTATTTTGCCGGTAAAACACACCGCTGACCATAAGGGAACAATAATACCCGCCAGATCGTTTCAGCGTTGCCACATTTCAAAAATATAAAATTTTTAAAACGATTTGTAACGGTTGGGCAATGACACACATGAGAGGTAAAGTCACACTATTCTACGGTATGTCATTACGTTGAATGCTGTTATTTTTGCTTTAGTTTTGTCCTAAATATTCTTGAGCTATGTTTTTAACCCAGAGATAACATATATTTACATACTGGGTTAGGGTATTATGTAAATTAGGGGGGGGGGCAAATAGACGCAACTAAAATTTTGTCGCCTACCCAGTCACAAGGGTCACGAGCCGCCACTGCTTTAAGGTTGTCGTTTTCGAATCGCTTAGCGCAATCAGTAAAGACGCTAAGCGCGTCAGATGAGAATACCCAAATCGGTAGTTAAGTGCGCGCCAAGCGAAAATTAACGTCATATACGCTGAGCGTCTAACAGCGCATTGCGTTTTCTAAGTTACAGAATTCGGGACCAGCGGCCTATTGTAAAATCTAGCCTGCTTTATCTCCGTGTGCCTTGTTTGTCAGATCGAAGGATCTAGCAAAGTCGGCCTGACGATGGGGATAATTCCTCGAAACCGGCAATGAGTTGGCTGTTTCTATCGGTCTGATGTACTAATGCAGAAATTAGCACATTTCTAGGGGTTAAGGCATTTTTTACGCTTCTCTATATTATGTCTATTTATAATAGAACCCTACTTTGCTTTCAGCTCCATCTACGGTTACGTATGTGTAGCAGGCTTGAGAAAAAATTACTTAATACCATAAAAAATGCATACTGACGCAATATTCTTTTTTATTTGAGCGATTATAATGAATTACGTTTAATAAATAATTAAATAGCATAATTACTTATTATACTTGTGTATAAGTGTTTAAAAAATTTTTAACATTAAATAATATATTATTATTTATTTTTAAGTAATAAACACATAATAAAATACATGTATAGACTTTTAAAATAATTTAAAATTGTTATTAAATATTATACGCGTTTTATTATTTTACAGAATAAGAAGAATTACGCCTTCGCCTATAAAGTGAAAGACAAGAAAACGGGAGATGATTTCTCCCATCAGCAAGTGCGAAACGCCAAAGCCACGAACGGAGAGTACAGAGTCAAACTTCCAGATGGACGGATCCAAATCGTTTCCTACAAAGCCGATAAAAATGGGTAAAATGTGTTTTCCGAACTTTTTCTTTTTAAGAAATGTTTGAACTCGTCAAAATCAGTTTACAAAAAAATAAAAACGTTCTTTTTCTGAGTTTCTTAAAATATTTAAGGCAGAATTGAGGTTAAACGTATTATCAGTCCATCAATTTAAATAAAAAATATATTTTTTTTTTAATTGAATTTGTATGTAATATCTCATGATGAAAATATACAATATGATTTACTTAACATTTGAAGGGTGTGGGCTACCTATGAACGTTTGAGTGAAATTATTCAAATACTGTTTTAGTTTTCTGTGTTGCTTAATGACTAATTAAGAATTAATAGAATCTATCCCTTTTTTCTTAGCGACAATTTTTGAAAACGGTTTCTCTCTTTCATTTGTAGTCATTAAATCGACTATTTTGATTTATCCGGCTGAGCAATTGGAAAATCTATTTTGTTGGACAAAGTTATCATGGCATTTAGTTATCCCAATAAGTTCAGTGACAATAAATATGAGAAACTTACCTAATCAAAAAGTTGATTGACAAATCACAACGCGATTTGATGACTATAAGATTTATTAACATTAAGCTGATTTTTTTTTTTGAAACTGTAGCTTATGTTGCTTATTGGGTCTAGAGGTAGGCTCCCGACCCTTGCTGGAGAAGGTGATAGCTCGTGTGCCACTTGTGGAGGATGATCCCAAGCAAGTGTCAGCCGCCCCTCCTGTAGTTTCCTTTGGATTTGGTCCCTTGGAACTTTCATTTGTAATATTCCCAGTGTCGCTATGGGTCTTCTCCACAGCTTTACCGGTGGTGTTTTTAATACTAGATCTCATAGTATTCCCAAGAGTCGCTAGGGATAGTTGGTCTACTTCTACAAAGTCCCGCATGCAGAAGTAAGGGGTGAAAAGAAATTCACAATGTGGTGCCCCCTGATGCCCCAAGGTTGAGGCCAGTAATGGCTGGTCCTCTATCTAGCCACGCATCCCTTTGACCTGGTCCCGCCATCGTAGGATTTAGGTTTTTGGTGAGGTTCTCTCCTTTTGGTCCAGGCGGTTAACCCAAGACCCTTTACACCCTCTACCCGCGAGACATGAGCACAGTAAGTAGAGGGTGCCTGGTATGACGGACAGGCGTAGCCCCGTCCGGCATCGTTATATGTCTTGGTGCAATTCCCTGGCAACGACACTACAGCCAGGGACAATGAGATGCTTCTTAGACCGAGCTAAAGTGCTAGAGTAGATTCCTCCAGCACCGGACAAGGAGCTTCCCCACCAACGACAAGGCCTTGCATCTCCTAGGGGAAGTGAAATTACCTATTATCAGATGCTCTACAGGAGCGCTTTCATTTTCGCACATTTTTAAGTTTCTTTCAGAAAACACTTCGCAAATTATTTATTTTTTCTATACAAAAACAATTATGGCATTTGTATCAACAATTTAATAAAATTCCAGCAATTTTTCATAACTTTTAGTTTTTTCCTTAAGTAGCTTCAGTGTTGTTTTGTCTCATTTACTTGGAAAAAACGTTGAAAATACAAAATTGATTTTGTATTTCTGACATTTTTGTATAAGTAAGTAATGTTATCTAAAATATTTATGGCACGTCCATGAATTGCACGCCAGCAGAGAATTTCTTTTCCCCCCTTACAGATACCCTGTAGCTACAGAACGGATCGACAAAATGTATGTCATCCGACACGTCTGCGCTGCAAAACTGCGTGTGAACTTGAGGTACAAAATCTGTAGTTTTGAAGCTTTTTATTATAGAGCATCGGTTTTTGAGATCGAGAGAATATCCACTAATTTTATTAAAGAAAACTATAGAAATAGTTTTTAAAATATTTTTATGAGATCCTTTTTTTCTTTCAGAATTGATGCGACGATAAAATTACAATTTACCATTCCAATTATATCATTTATTTTGGTGTTTATTTACAATATTGAGTTGTTACGAAATACAAAATTTAAATCTGAAAGTTTTTTAGTAGCAAAAATAGTATAATCGAATCAGAATCTAGAAATTAATTGTCTACATATTTTTAAACTACATTAAGTATCACTGAAAAAACCTGCTGATTAAATACGGAAAATATATTTCAATTATTAGTTAATATTGCTTTTCATATTACGGTAATGGAAAACATCACAAACGGTACAAAAAGTAAATAAAATTTACCCTCCGTTTTTTTTTCTTTCAGCTATGTCGCATTAATACACACCGTAAAATTATGTCTGTCAAAGAAAGATGCTCGTTTTTTCATCACTTTCCCTCTAACGAGCTGTTTTCTCGAATAAATACAGTTTTAACGCAATTTTCTTTTGCTTTTGTCAATGTAATAACGGCGGTTTCTTTGTCGCCGAACTGTGTGGATGTACTTACTGGATAAATTTAAAGAGAAAATGTTTATCTCGCTTTTTCAGTCACTTTATCTTCAAAAACCTTTGAGAAGTTATTTGCTTGTTATTCTTTCAATATACACTTTTGCAATAAGGGTGTCTGCTTCTATATTTTTTCTATATTAAGACTTTTTTATTAATACTAACATCTTATAAATGCTTGCTCCCTCTCTCTTTCTCTCTCATATTTTTAATTAATTTAATGAAAATATTAAATCAAATACATGCATAACCAATGAAACAACATACGAATTTTCTCGGGATAACGGTTCTTAAAATATCTGAAAAAAATGTGTTTATTTTTTTTTAAGTTTGATGCCCTCTAGCGGACAAACGAAGGCACTTTTGTATAGAGGTAAATTGTGTCCAAAGAACTTATTTCGATTCCTAAAATACGTAGTAGATTTATGTTCACGGAATGTTGGGACACCCTGTATAACTGATATTATTAACCTCTTTCTAAAATCTTTTTATTCAAAGCATTTTCACAACAAACTCTAAATGTGTCATTTTTTAGATACAATGCTGATGTGAAATACGAACATGATCCAGAAATTATCCACAAAAAAATAGTTAATTCCTTTATTTCCGATCCTGAACACTACGAAGTTGAAAAAGTACCAGTTAAAGAATATTCACCTCCCTCAAGTGATTATGGTTATGAACATGATGATTATGGATACGAAGATGATGAAGAAAAAGAACAGGTTAGTAGGATTTTTAATTTTATTTCATAGTGGGAATAAAAAAATATTATTTTTACTAGTAATACCACAAGATGTTAAAATATTTTGGAACCAATATTTTGAAAATTATTTTGGCTATATTTTTCCTTTGAACATATTATAAACGATAAATCAACCTAATTAAAAGCATACAGAATATTCTTATATGTCAAATATTAATTAAAAAAATATTGCGAGAGAAAAAAAGACTAGTAAAATAGTGTATATTAAATCGTTACAGTTATAATTAAATCTTTGGCGATTTTCCGTTAATAGCAGA